ATTTGGTTATATTTGATACTAAACGTTCAAGATGTTTAAGTTCAATAGGTCGTGCGATTATTTTACAGTAAGTCTGTCATAGGATTTGCTTGTTTAAGGTAAAAATATTTCGGTCGTTGACAATTTCTTTAAATTTTAAATGTGTTATAGTGATCACGTAACTTCTATGTATTTTTTGTTTTTAAGGCACAACACACAACTTCCTTCTTTTTAAATAAAACTCTATATATTTTAACATAATCTCAGCCTCTTCCTGGGCTTGATAACTACCTATAGTTTATTTCTGAAATTCCAATACTACGTTGTCGCGTTATTCAAAATTTCATGAATTTTTTTGGTATTGTAAGGGTTCACAAAAGAATAGAATAAGTGTGTATTTTTATGTATTTTTTCTTCCCTTTGTTTCAATATGTCCGTGAGTCTCCTAAAAAAGTAAAAAATTACAGCAACTATCAACTTTCAACATAGAAAATACAAAAAAAGAGAACAAAAAACAAAATAAGATGTAGTAATAAAATATAGGGTATTGTATTTGAAAAACTGAAATATCGACTGATCCGAAAATTTTAATAATTATTTTGATAAACACTCAATATCTTAAGACTCAATTTTATTTATACCACAACAAAGCGCGTTCCTTTATTTATCCTTCAATTACTAAACAATTTTAAGAAAATTGGACTGACATGGCAACATCGTATGGGAATTTCAAAAATAAACTGTAGACATAAAACCTAAGCAGAGATCAATCAGAATTTGTAAAAATATATAGGGTATTCCTTTTAAAAAAATTTAAGCTGTGGGTTACTCCTTAAAATCACTATATATGTAACGGATAGGTAATCAAAAAGTTTTCAGATTAGAGTTGGCCATTGTGTCATAAATATTTCCATGGCCACCCGTTAGTTGAAAATAATTTTAGAGTATGGTCCCCAAGAATCGTATAATTTTAGTTTTTGACTTTTTTTAATTTCTTTTTTTTTTTAGTAATTAAGGAGATATTGATGAGCGCACGTTTTGTGACTCACTGTATATAATTTGAATGAAAATGCTTTATTTTTCATACCGAAAAGGCCTTTTTAAAAGCAGCTGTAAAAAATAATTCATGTAATGGACATATTGAACACGAAAGTGGAAAATTATTTGATTGTGTATATTGGACACTCCCAAAAACTGCAGATCCGAAATGGGGGCTTGTTTTATGTTTTTTTTTTTTTAATCTTAACGAAGGATATATGTATATCTTTTGTCGAGATATATTTTCTTCCTAAAAATTGTGTTAAGTTTGTTTTTATAATAATACTCATTTATCTATCTTTTGGTAACAAGAACTACCGGTCTTGACTCAAATGTAATTTTAAATTGTTTAGATTCTACTTGCCATATAAATGCACTGGTAATGTATAAGTTGAAAAAAACCTCCGTGCTATCACGGAAAAGCCAACACACGGAATATAAATGATATACGAAATATTATAGACATCATACGATAAAATCAAAGTCTGTTTTTCCTGCAGAAGACGCTGTAAACCAAAGCTTATTTCCGACATGCTCGAAACAGAATAAAATCTTTATCCATAAAGACATAATGCAAAAACCGGTCCACAAAACAAATCAGCAGCTTCATTTTCCTTAGGATTTTCCTGCTTGCATGTCATTCACATTATGTATCATCATTTAAAAAATCACTGTGTATTCCAAATTTTCAGGTCGTTTCTGTGAAGGCTCTGTTATTACCGTTTGTCTATTTCTTGGCACACAAAAATTTCATTCCATTTAGTGTTTGGTTACTTAGGGGACTTAGAGAGTGAAGTACATATACAATATTTACCTAGGAGAACGAAGTGGATATATATTCTGCTTTTTTATTTTTGTGCATAATTTTGGTAACTAGTAGTTAGTGACCTTATATTTACTCATGTTGAAACTCCATCTGTAGGTAAATCAAATGTTTCTCCTGCGGTGTTTACAGTACATATACCTACATTTCGTAAATTAATTTCTTTCTCCCGAGATACATATATCAAGGAAATTACTTGTTCTTTTACAGTGTAATTAACCATTGAGAAGAGAATTGTATCGTGAGGTGTTTCATTTTGAATTTACGTCGTCAAAATTTTAACCAAAACCTGTATGGTGACCATAAAAAAAATGTTATATATATATACAATTATACATATTCACTTTTTATATCAAATTAGTTCATTACGTCTTTGTCAATTTTACCTAATTTTCATTTAATAATATAATTTAGTGAACATTAAACACAATTAGCCATTAACGGTACTCATTATTTATAATCTCATCAAACAGGAACATGTTTTTAAAATTGACAAAATCCGGTCAGCTCAAATACATTGTTTAGATGTGGAGCAGGTAGCTTTATCATTAAATATTTCGGGAGCTTTAAATACATACAATTATTTGTGCCAGTGTTAATACAAATTTATTTTGCTTTTATATTTATGCGTAACTCATTTTGTACAAAGGCACAATTTTCCAGTGGATATTTTAAGTCATTCAGATATCAACACAGTCGTTGTTAAATGTAGTAATAAACATTTTCTTGAATAATGATTATTTAAATATTATTTTTAAAAATTAATTTAAAAAATGTAGAATTATACTTACAAATTGTTCGCTTTTCAAATTTCTGATTCCTTCACTCTGGTTGAAACGGTCTAAGTAGAATTATAAAACACATTACTCGCGATTATTCTAGTGTAAATAAGTATATCCAAAGGAAGTTATAATTTGCAGACTCAGGTAGTATAATTATATAAAGAAACTACTAATGAAAAGTCACCATTAAACTTTCGATTACCAAGATTTTTTATTAACTGTATTCACCGGTAGTATTTACTACGAGATAATTTATAGCCTGTAATTCCGTCAGTATACACTATCATTCATAATTACGTGTTTTCATAAGGTTAGTGACATTGTCTGCTTGTTTTGTATTTTTTTTTTTGTAACGAACGGGGAATTTTGTACGCAATATAAACAAATACGTAGATATAGAATATAATAACTATGTCATAAAATTATCCAGGCGTGAGAAGAGCGAAACAATCATGTTGGGAAATGCGCAATATGTTCTCAAAACAGTGCAGCAGGTTGAGATAATTACCAATTTAATCGAAACTTTAATGATGTGTAGGTATTTAGAAGTGAGCAAATGAGTAATTAAAAGTTCTACCACCAACGACTTCAGATATTGAGATAATACTCATAATACGTGACGTCCGCACCATTGTTTCTCCATTAATTAATTTTCCAAGGAGCGCTTGAAATCAGATGAGCATTTTCTGCATAAGAAATTTCCTCCTCCAAAGTGACTCAAAGCGGTATTAAAGGTCTTCAACGTGTAAACGACACGATTTTCGCACATGTCCGACTGGCGATAATTCTAAACAATTGGTTAAACATGGGTTTAAAATTACTTAGACCGAACCTCCTTCGCCGCTGAAGTACAGGCGAATAAATAGGTACAGCTTCCCAACCGATTGTTGTCAAATTTTATTTTAGTGTAGATCGTAAAGCGCCAACCAAAATTTGTCTGCTCATCCACACGTCGAAGTTTTTATAACAGTAAATCTAATTAAAATTTTATAAAATAACATACTCCTTTAACAGTCCATTTTTTTATTTTTTTAACTTACAGGGGTCATCATAACGAAAAGAAAATTCGAAAAATTAAATTTTACAATTTTTCGAAGAAGTTGTATCTGTTCACATGTACTTCAGAAGCGAGGGAAGTTCTCTTTAAATAACTTTGGACCATTTTTTTTTAATGAGATCGCCTACATATTAAAATTAATTAATTTTTTTATTCTGGAAACTACGACATCTGATTAATTAATTAATATGTTTTAAATATACTACACAAACAATTCTAAGAAATTAAATTGTCATTTTTTAAAGACATTGTTGACCAAATTTAATATTTATTTAATACATTTTTACGATTTGCTTTTACAAATTTTATTGTGTTAACATTAACCCATATTAAAAAGATCAATAATAATTTATTAAACTACAGTTAAAGAAGCATGTCGAACTATAAATACGATGTCACAACTATCTTAAGCAATGCCCAAATTTTCAAAGCCATGGATTTTGCAGTGCGTAAGTTAAATTGTAAAATTTTGAACTTTTTCCAAACATGTATAATCTAAATGCATAAGATTAAAAATAGGGATGGATTAATCAGTGAAGTTATTTTTGCATGTTTCAAATAAGATTTACCTTGCAAAATTTTGATTACGTCAGCAAATTTGTGGTGAGGAGGATTAGACAAATTTTGGTTAACATTTCACCACACGATATTTTCAAGGTCTGTATGAAATTTCACAACAGTCAGTTCATTAATTTCGCAGTTGATCTATCTAATAAAACTCCAACAAACGGCAGACAAAGGAAACAGGAAACCCACTTTCATATTTAGCCCCTATGGCCCTATCACAGTATCCCTCTAACGTACGGTCAGGAAGTAAAAAGAAGCGAATTAGCAAATTGAGTGCTTTCTGGTCTTTAATCTCGAATATCAAAGCACATGTATACGGTACACCCATATTATATACCTATGTATACGAAAATGATAAGGATAAAGAAATGAATTTTAATTTTATTGAATGTGTCTTAATAATAAATCATCACGTATTGTCCACATTATGAGTACATCCCCAAATAAATGTCCGTTAATAGCATAATGAGCTTTTTTTTTGGTTAATTGAGTAGGATAAGATTTCACCCTCGTTTTTTGACCCACAAATTGATTAAGTGATTTTTTTGAGACATATGCGAATATCGATTGGCATCATATTAATAGTACTTCAAACAACAAAAGATATTTACTACACCACGAATATCATTCGTTTAACGGTCCATAAATTCCGGATACGACGAGTAATTTATAAGTTGCCGATGGCGTCGTTTACTATCATGATCGACAAATGAATTTCCCAAGAATGGTACTAACTTTTCCCGTTTTATTACAGACATAACATCGGAACAAATGTTGATCCAGCGTCTGGCCGAGCTGCAAGTAAAACTGCAATACTTGGATTCGATGTATAGGGCCAGACAGGAGGACCTGCAGCAGCTGACCCAGCATATTGACCAGATCGGCATTCCTAACGACAACACGACCACTTTTAGCTTTCCAACGACGGAACTTCGGCCTGAAATCAAACAGTTAATCAAGAACATGTCAGGAATGCATGCGGCCACAGGACTAAATCCGCCTATTATGTTGCGGCTGCCTTCTTCCTATCACTTCCTTCCGCATCTACTCGATGATCCGTCGAGTTTAAGGCTGGCCTACTTGATGTCCAAAGGCAGGAATGGGGTGTCCGTGGTTATGGGGGTGCCCACTGTCCGAAGAGAAAAACAAAGCTATTTAATGGATACGTTGCAAAATCTTATCGATGGGATGAATGGCGCAGAAGCCAATGATTCTTTAATTGTTGTTTTTGTTGCCGAGGTAAGTTTAATGGAGTTCAGGTTATTAACATTTATATGCAGTTTCTTATTTTTGTATTTGTGCTTACTTACTGCATAATAGATAAATATATCGCATAAAATTACCTAACATAACAAACAGCAAGTGCAGTTTTGTTTCCCCTGATTTATCTTTTGAACGTGAGCGTTTTTTTCTCCGCCACTAATGTGGACATTGAAAAATGGTCAACTTTTCGTGTAATTTTTCGATATGACGTTTTCAGCTTTCCAAGGGGTGTAATAAATTTTAGTTAATATTCCGAAAGCCTTGTTTAATTGTAGTAGCTTACCAAAGTTTTGAAAAACTTTGTAGTGGAATCTCTGGAATAAAACATTCAACGTTAGAATCAAATTTTATTTTTAAGGCAAGCCATACGGGATGTCCTAGATAAACCAGCAATATAAAAATTGTTGGAGTTGACTTAAACAAAGTGTTACCACTTTATTTTACATTTTACATACAGTTGGTAAGAGCTGTTTAAAAAATAATCATTTAAGCATACGTCGCGGTTAATAGAGTATCCCGTGTTAAAGAGGCACTAACATTTATAATCCAATTATTTTAATCTAAATCTTCTAAAGCACGCAACTGTCACAAATCTGGGCTGCGAGCTGCCCATCGAGTACCTAATTTTCATAATAAATATTTGCAGAATTAACAAATTCAGCATTTTCGACAGGCAGCAAAGAAATATTATAATAGTCTAAGATTTGTCACGTTAAAATTTAACAGTAGATATCAGTGTAATTGTATTTGCACATCTGTGGCCATAAGAATATAAGTGTTTTATATTATTGTAATGGTAATTTAATAGTCTGTCAAAATCTATTAAAAAATATACTTTGCAATTTTAAAAAAATCCAGATTTGCGTTGCGACGCCGACGTTAGATATTCGTCAGATTTGCAATGTAAGCTAAATTAGACTTCCTCTTCAAACTAAAAATAATTGCGTTTACGGAATTTCAATATTTCTATCCGTTTTCAAGATATAAGGCAACGGAGGTTCAGCTGGGACACCTCTGTATACAGATTCAAAATGGAGAAATAGATTATTATTAACCTAAAATAAAATCGCATGCTACTTATTTACGTTACCCATTAGTTATGAAGCACATTTAAAATAAAATGCAAAGTAACTGAAGTGGTACTTTTTTTTATCTAATCCAGTTGTCCATAAACAAGTAAGTAGATAGCAACCTGTATTTTCCTACTCTATACGAATCGAATTAAATACTTTTATTCAACATACTGTGTGTAATCACTAATTAGTGTGTACTTTTATCGCGTTGTTGTATTGTTTAAAGAAAGAAGATTAGTGATTCGGTAACAATATTTATAATAACTTATTTTTCATCTATCTTTTTTATATTTACTATTACGTAGCTTTTAAAACTAAAAACTTGGAAAAACATCCACCTTAACATGTAACTGTTACATAACTATTTATTAATTTATTATATTTCAAATAATATTTAGTATACAAAAACTCTGTAGGTACTGGTATCATTGAACTTTTGGAAATAAACTCCGTATTTGCTGGACTGATTGTCATGAAATGTTACATGTATATTTTAAGTGTTATGTAGGTATATGGTAAAACCCTAATCAAAATTGATCTAATCATCCCCAACAAAAAATTGATGATATTGCCTTAAAATTTTAAATAAGACCCATTTTAAATGTGCAAAATAATAGGTTTCTGCCTGTCATTGATTAATTCATATGCATTTTTAAACTGATGTATTTATTGTGGTTTTTGCAAAATAATGATAACACCTGTAGAAAATAAATATTATTATTATTATAAAATAATGCAAAAGTATACAACCCAATGTTATTGTTTAATTTAGATCGAAACTAAGGAACCGCTTTCCCTGAAATTTGCGCACGCTTTAAAGTCATGGCGAACGTGGTAAATCGCTAATCTCAAAATTAATTTGTTCATCTCTTTCAAAAATGTGATGACGTCATGATTGTTTATTGTGTACATATTTTTACAAATACGTATACGGGTTATCGTAAAAAAATAAAAAGTTTACAATATTTTAATTGATGAAACGCGTACATATTTACGAAAACTCCAACGCGAATGTTTGAATAAACTTTGCAGAAGGTCTTAGCTTTTACAACACAATTTTTTTAATTTTGGCAAAATACCAACATTGTCTTAACGATTACAGAACAAAGAATAATATTTATTTACCCTCTGCCGAAAATTATTCAAATAAATGTTTGTTAAAAACGTTCCTCGAAAAGCTTGGTTCGTTGCGCTTTAATAACAGATATTTATTTTATTAGTATTAACATGGCCCATCTAATTTTCCCAAACTTTGGGAACACAGTGCAATTTTGTATTTTAATACCTATGTATATAGCGTTATTGAAAAAAAAAACTAAATTGATACAAATAAACAATTTTGCTAGGTCAATCTCATATACATATTTATATTTTATAAAATAATATGCTTGTATAGTTGTGGTCTGTTAACCTGCTCTTATTTTTGGCCTTCGAGATCTAAGTTTTTGCAAAAAATCCAAAATTGTACATACCAAAAAAGTTTAGTTATTGCATGTGGTAAAACGCTAAACGAAATTTATCTGTTTTATCCATTCCAAGTACTTGCTGACGTCATTTTAAAATTTTGCTGTTTAAGATCTACAAAACATGTGTCTACTTTGTGATTTATTAATACATCCATATTGTTACGTTTGACGTTTTTTTTTTTAATCGGCGTGGATAAACTTCAACAATTTATTTCTCAATAACTTCTGACTTGTCTGAACGAACTGAATAATCCTCCTTCCCGGCGGTAGCCTCTATTTAAATCGATACGTTCCTCTCGATGGATCGAGAACGCCGTTTCGAGGTTTTTCTGGGTTGCCCATCGACTTCCGCTTCCAGGCTTTTCATTAGCGAACGCCACCCGGCCGATGAGTCATCTAGCCGTACATACTGGAACCTATAGGCGTCGTACCGAGGCGGCGTATGGGTTTCTTTCGTAACAAAATTTTTACTTCGTGAGCGTAAGCGCCATCTCAAAATTTATACCGAATAAATCTAAAATATATACAATATTAAGACTCTATACTCGTAGTTTATCAATGCATTCATATTTTTTAGAGTTGTTTATGTTTTATTGCCCAAGCCATTTTCCCGAAAATTTGAGTATATAGTACTTTATTAATAGTATTACACTGCACCTATTCAAATTGATTACATGTCCTTACTAAAATATTGATGACGTCTTCAAAAATTGTTTGTATGGAAAAACTCACTAGAAACGATGCATACGATGCTTCTCTACCTGTACCTTAACAATTCATACATATATTATTTATGGTTCATAGGGATCATCATAAAAAAATAAAATTCTCAAGGTCTCAAAAAACTAAAAATAAAGCAATTTATTTTATTCATTAAAACAAAAATTATCTCATGTTCTTTAAACTCTGGGAATACAGTACTGTTATTATTATTAGTAGTAATGCACTGTATCCATCCAAATTGATATACTTTGCCATACCTACTCAAAATTTATGCCGTAAAGACAAAATTTTATTATTATCACTTGGAACATATGCACAGCGTACTTATTTATTGTTTGCAATTTAATAATTCACACTAAGTTTTATTTTAACTTGTAAGGTTTATTACAAAAAAATAATACATGCATAATCAAATTTTATAATAAATTTATCTACGAAATTTTTTGATTGTATTTCAAGGACGAGGGAAGTTCTGTGTAAATAACTGAACCAGTTTTGATTTAAAGATCCACGAAAGCAGACTCAACGGTACGTTATTAAGTTCACAAGTTTAAGTTTGGGTAAAATCATTCAAAAATTCCTTGCGTCAATTTGGCGTTCACTTACAAAAATAAAATATCAATTTAGAGTAGTAAATCAAAAAACTCAAAAAATTAGCCACACTTTCCGAATTCATCCTGAACAATTTTTAAGTTTTTTGTTATATTATAAAGTGAAGAAAACTGTGGATGAAAACAAGATACATCCAAAATTATTTTGAATAATGGAAGTCTAATTGGTATAGAGTAATGCCTCAATTATCCAAAACAGTTGGGACTGAAAGTTTTCCGTTTACCGATTTTTCCTTGATATCAGAAACTTGAAAAATTTGCTTATTTTCAACAAGAAAATCACTTAGAACACGCTATTTTTTTTCTTAATGAAAAATCACGATATCACTATCACAGAAATTACGATCAAGACTAAAAAAAAAACAAGAACAAAAAACGTCAGATGAATTCTCGATGTTGGAGGTTCTACTGTAGTCCCTGGACAATTTCTCGTGAAATGAAAAGGTAAAAACTACCAGATAAAAATTCAAAATACTCGTAAGAAAAAAGCATTGCTTCAAAATCTGGATTTTAAAAGTCGAAGAAATTGTTTCCAACTTTTCAGTCAGTGTTCCATGTTTTAAGTCATAAAAAGCGACCAGGTTATAAAATTGAAATTCCAAGTTCCTAATTGTAAAATAAGAATGCTCAATAAAAAAAAAAACATCCTTGCGCTACAGCCAAATATCGTCCTGCAAGAAGAAACAAAATGTTGGGCTAGAAGCAATTTTACTTTCTGACATTTACAAAGAAAAGTCCAGAATTAAGTATAACTTATTTTATTATTAGTCTTATCTAAATAATTACCTTGCAATTTCCTGCTACCCAGCAGTTAAACCACATTTCAATAGTAACACTTGTGACAGGAATTACGAACGTGAATATAATATTTGTGTATGTAAGGGCATAATTAGGGAGATTATGGCACGAGGTCCATCCATAATCGACAATTATGCCCGTGGTACATACAACGTTGTATTCTATTTTAAATATTTTTAACGAAATATTGAGTGTTTCCGGCAAGCTTGTGTAAATTGTGCCGATGCGAACTTGGCTATTATTTCGATGTTGTTATCTATACGACGTTGTTTATTTGTTAAATAACTCCATTTTCAAAATGCAAA